TCTACAAATCACTCTTGAAGGAATCAACACATCCCCAAGATCACTCACTAGTAGCACAAGAAGAGGATTACAAACAAAGATCTCTTAAAGATCAAAATCTCAAGTGAAAGCACAAGTTGGTAGTAAAGATATTCAATACAATACTCTCTAAACTTCTTCACATCTGCTACCAACCATATTTATAGTCCCTTGCTCGAAAATAGCTGTTTCTAGCCGTTGGGGGTCATTAAATGCTCTGCAGGACACAAAGCTCGAGCTGCAGAACTGTCAGGAGAGCCGGCTTAACATTCTAGAGCCGGCTCTATAGAGCCGGCTTAAACTTCTAGAGCCGGCTATTCGGGATCGCAGCACATTCTGTTTTTCTCGAGAGCCGGCTTCAAAACTTTGAGTCGGCTTTGCAACTCCGACTTTAAATACATTAATAATATTCAAATGAGTCGACCGTTGTGCATTAAATGTACCCTCACAGCCGGCTGCAAAGCCAGAGCCGGCTTTGCGTCTTTTCTCCGCGCGCGCCAAAGAACGGTCTTCAAATTTTTGCCTGTAGAGCCGGCTGCAGCTTCCAGAGCCGGCTTTCTGCATTCCATTTCACCAGAGCCGGCTGCACTTTAACAGAGCCGGCTCTCTGCATATTTCAATCCTTTTGGTTTATTTTTAGTGCAATCCAAGTTTACTTGCAATCTTTTAGCAACTTAACTACACACTTAAATAAACCAATTAGTCACTCAAATGTGTTTTGTAATCATCAAAATCATATGTACAACAATCTCCCCCTTTTTGATGATGACAAAACACTTTAAGAATTAATTAATGAAAGCACATACATACTTCAATATTAACCAGAATTTCAGCACAAGGTACTATAGAGAATGACATTAAATTCAGCATATTCTCTCCCCCTTTTTGTCATTCATCAAAAAAGCACATAATCAACAATTTAAATCCCCCTTAATTCATACATATCAACCTTTAAAGCATTTGAGCATGATAACCATTAAGAAAAGTAATTTAAGCACAAAATGCTCCCCCTTAATTCATGCTATCAACCTTTAAAGCATCAAGAATCTGAATATAATCATCAATATAGCACAATAGACAACCAAAGTCATGAACATAGTCATTAACCATAGCACATAATCATGAATAAACTCCCCCTCAATAAGAGCATATTATCATCAAAATCATAAACAACCATTCACAAAGCATGATAACACAAGTAATGCCATTTCCATTCATAAAACATAAAATGCATAAAAAGGTTCAAG